AATGCTCTTTAGAAGCCAGGATGGTGAGATATACTCATGCTTCAGACACAGTTATCAGGAGGGAACAGTACCTGAAGAAGGACATCATGCTAAGTAAAGTAGAGGATCAGCACAAAAGAGAAGACTCCCAAGATGATGAATCGACACACTGGCAATAACAAACGGCTCAAACATAAGAATTGTGAGGATGGTGCAGGACTGGGCAGTGTTTTGTTCTGTTGTTCACAGGGTCTATGTGAGTTGGAACAGACTTGTCAGAACCTAACAACGAAAGCGATTTTATGAAGGGAGTTTATCCTGATACCAAATCCAGACAAAGGCCTTAAGTAAACTACAGACCAATATCCTTTATAAATATAACATCAAAAACTGTCAACAAAATAGTAGCAAACAGAATCCAGCAGCATATTAAAACATGACTAATTGGATTTAATTCCAGGAGTACAAGGTTTTTCAACATTAGAAAACAGATGAATCATCACATTAATAGATGAAATGAAAAAAAAAAAAATACTGATTCCATCAATTGACATAGAAGACGCTCAACACTTTTCTTGATAGAAACATTCAGAAAAAGAGAAAGAGAATGGAAGTCCCTGAATATGGGTAAGGGCATGAAAAACCAACAGTCAACATTATACTTAGTGAAGAAATATTGAGAGCTTTTTCATTTAAGGTCTGGAACATGACAAGTATACCACTCTCAACTTTTAATCCATACTGTACTGGAAGTCCTAGCCAAAGCAATAAGGCAAGATAATGAAATAACAGGTGTTCAAATCCCAAAGAAGTCAAAACATTCCTATTCACAAATGACATAATCCTATGTATAGAAAATCCCAAGAATGATAAAGAAAGCTTCTAGACTTAAAAGAAGAACTTAGCAAAGTTGTAGGATATAAAGTTAACACACACACACAATCACTTGGGTTTCTATATATATACCAGCAGTAGAAATCTGAAAAGGAAATAGAGAAAAACCTCATTTACAATAGTATCTCCTACAATAAAATATCTAGAACAAATTTTAACCAAGGATGTGAAAGACTTAAATATAAGTATTTGTATCATTATAAGAAAGTCAATACATCAAAAGCATGTAACACTTAAAAATGTATCTAAATAAATGGAAAGACATTCCATGGTCATGGATTGGAAGACTTAATGTTGAGATTTCTATACTACACAATGTGATCTATGGAGCCAATGCAATATGGATCAAAATTCCAATAGCCTTTATTACAGAAAAGGAAAAAGAATTGTCATTTTTATATGGAATGGCTAGAGGCCCCAGGTAGCCAAAATAACACTGAAAAACAAAGTATGAGGCCTCATACTCTAATATTTCACCACACACTTGCTTACAAGCAGATCTCATCTTAAAGTTGACTGTATTATATTAAAAATCTCATCATGGGAGACTACTTCTTAACTGCCAAATCACTGAGAATCCAGGTGCAGTCAAGTTGACACAAAACCTTATTTGCCACACTAATAATGG